GCGTGGCATTCGCCGTTGGTGTGAACGTAGCTTAACTGAAGGAAGTATCTAATACACCTATTATAATACAACATTTCTTGTTTATTTAATTAGTTGCTTTGTTGTAAAGGTGTTGCTATAAAGCTCAGATTCAAGTATAATTTCATTATGATAATATTTATTCAATTTCCTGGAATATCACTATGGATTACAGTCTGAATAATTCATGGTTAAGTTTTTGAAAGACCCAATTTGAAGCCAGTCATCCACCTTTATAACGCTCCTGCCAGCAGGTCACCATTAAAGACCATGCAGCTATAGAGGAGCTAGGTCTTGAGTTCTAAAACCATGCACCATACTCTTCTGATCATGCAACATCCAATTTTTACTTACATGGAGAATGGAACGCTAATCAGTGCTGTAAGATCGTTAAAGATGAGAATGACCTTCTCCAAGTTGTTCAATCGACCATGCGTGACATGTCCTCAAATTGGTTCACTCATGTGTTTGAGTCATGTATGCAGAGTGCTACTCTTCTACTGACCAAAGAGGAGCCTATTTTTCGAAGTACATAGGATACATAGGAATATCAAATTATGTAAAACAAATGTAATTCCCACCAGTTGTTGCATTTTAACTTTGATATGGGATGTACAAACTGCTTAATGTCTTTTTCTTTCTTAATGTAACTTTCTGCGTGGAATGTTGCCCCGGGTATTGTGATGTCATGTTACCATAGCAACCATAACTCTACCCGAGTTACATATTTTTTGTTGGAACTTTGCAGTTTTAGTCACGATACATGAAAGTACATTATGTCAAATTTTAAAGACGATTGGTGCATATTTAACAAAATGCCAGCACCAGTCCTGTTACTTTTGGAACACCCTCTATATAGCTAAATAAAGGTATTATTTAATAAAAAATTAATTAGACATTGAGTCACGAATAAATTGTGACATTGACACATGATTGGATGATTGTATTTGCCAAAAAACATCACACATTATATTTTATTCTCTTAGTCTATAAAGAGCGTTTTCACGGGTATCAACCAGACCACGTCATTTCATGATCTTGCTCGGCGATATCATGGCTAAGCCACGGGTTTTACGGTATCTATTTGCAACTCGGCGGTATGTTCAGCTCAAAGTGCATCCCTTTGCTCACGGTCTGGTAGGTACCTGTGATTTTCGTAACATTAACACATCGATTTGTCTCCTAAATTACCTACTTTAACGAAGTAACATGTGCAAATATACAAAAAGGTGATAAAAGCGACATTATACTCTGGTGTTTAATTATTAATCCGTATTTTCATATACCCATAACTACGTTAAATATCGGTCTCTCTCTATAATACTTTGTAAATATCATCCCGACAGATTGCATAAAATTACGATCTCATGATTAGATGAGGTGAGACTCGACAATAAGCAGGATAGTAGAAAGATGCTATTTCAAAGTTAGTCGTTTACAAAATGATGGTGACGGTGTAAATATTAATTTACGAAATACAGGGTGATCACTAAGTTCTGGGAATTGGTCTGTCATTTCAATATTTTTCAACCAATTCAGTTGAAACTTTTAGCAAATGTACATTGTATAATTCTGAATTGACAGACAATGTTTCATATATATATCACTTTTACAATTTATTTTATTGCAATTATAAAAAAAGTAAAAGTGGTCAGCGGGTCAGCAAATTTTGACTGACATTAATTTGAAAAATATCCTGCTAAAACATATTCATCTTGCCTAGATCGTTGGTTCAAACTTATTGTACTAGAGGCAGAACAGTACTCTTGAAGTCATTTATTCAGAAGTATTCTTCATTGCTGGAAGGATCATTTCATTTATAATGATTTCCATAGGCCTGAATGCCTATGTATTGTTGTCAAACCTACTGTAGTCCATAAAGTTGCTTTCCAGTCCTCCCCTTGGTATCCCTTTAAAATTTGCTCAAGCTGTTGAGATCAGCCCCTCATTGGAACCAAACTTATGATGATCTCTATATGAAGCTTCAACAGTCAAATTTAGTGAACCTAATGGTGGTTCATCTGGTGAACATTATATGGTGAATATGGGGCATGAACAACTTGTGTGAACCTTAATTCTTCAAGACTAGTATGGGCAATTTGAGGAATGGGAAGAAGCATAGTCACAATAGAAGATAACTCCTCGCTATTTTGAGTCATGATTGTGACTTTGAGAGTCTGACCAATGATAAGAAAATTGAGCAAAGTGGACTCTTATATCACAATACAGATGTTACTTTAAAAACTAAACTTAGAAATATTTGAAAACATAAAAAATCACAGAAATTTCTCTACCAAATAGGTATTAATTAACCATACTTTTGGATCAAGTAAAATAAAAATGAATTCAACTTTTTCTTGACCCGCTACGCCATTTGTCATGTTGCTATAGTAACAATAATTATCCATTGTGACATCATATGACAATGAAACTGTTTTATCCAACCCAAAACTATATTCTCCATTTACCTTGAAAATTTCAAGTAGATTGGTTGAAAAATAATGAAATGACAGATAAATTCCCAGAACTTAGTGATCACCCTGTATTTGTAGATTTATTTGAAAAACAAAGAAATATACATGTACATCACATATCGAGTTTTTATAACAGAAAAACATGTTTAAATAGTAAGGCCTGTAGGTCCGATTCCCTTTGGTAGCATTAACATTGATCTCGTATAAGTCGTACAATTAATATTCGAAACACAACTATTATTCGAACTTTTGATCGGACATAAGTACAATGTGTACTTCAAGGTAATAAACTAACATCATGCATTTGTCCGATTATAAGTTTGAATAATAGTATGTGGTATAAATATTAATTTTATGACATAATAAAACAAACAAAATTTTCATAACGTATTTCCAATCACGTCTAGATCACTTTTCAAATGAGTTTCCTTGATATATCAAAAGGCTATGTTGTTCTCATACTCCTACCCAGAGAACTAAATATGACTGTTATTCACTTTATTAAGCAGTAAAAAATGCTACATGGGTGACAAAATTATAATCACAACCGTAAATCAAATAACTCAAGTGACGGGAGAGGAGGCGATTTCTACAAGACAATTAAATACTCAACAAAATCCTTTCATTAGAAAGTTTATTGCCAAATTAAAAAGTGCACGGTATGGAAAATTAATGTTATTATAAGTGTTTAGTTAATTTTAAGTATTCTATGATTTTTATGTCACCACTAAAAAGTATAGTGACATGTTGTTATGATCTCCGTTTTCTGTGACGGCGATCGGCGGTCGGCGATCGGCGTCTGTAACAAATTCTTACAGCGTAAAATAACTTAACACATACGGGATAGACTGGCTCCAAATCTTTTCAAAACAATCAACATTTAATCAGTTTTCGTTTGTATTTCCGCTATTTCCGACCGTACTTGGAGCACTATCTGTTGCGATAGTGATAGCATTCACCGATAGTTTTGATATTGTTGAATTCATAATGTGCATGTTCTGTTAGATTTGATATGACTTTTCGCTATCATAAAAGTTGCACAGTTTTGAGTTGTCATTAAGCATTCAACACGTCATAAAACGTTTATATTGGTGTCAGCGTTTTGTATTTCAAGGTACATTTTTATTTCTGCATTTACGAAACACGAAATCTAATCATACATTTTCTTTAACGATTTACTTAACATGCAGACCATTATCTGGGCCCTGGTAACGTATGTTTAGTTTTCGATATTGATTGAACAACGCACAATGAAATAATACTATTGTTAAGTAGTAGGAAGGAAGGGTTCCACAGTTGCCAACTCCCGATTTAAATCGGGAGATTCCTGTTTTTAACCCATCTCCTGCGCAATTTTGCCATCTCCCAATTTTCTAATTTTGTAATTTTTCATCATCTCCCGATTTCCCGCGATTTCTACAAAAAACATGTTTTAGGTAAAAATCCCCCGATTTTGCCTGTGTCCTCCCGTTTTTTCCTCATACCTCCCGATTTTTAACTTGAATCCGAGTACTCATCGATCGTCTCCAGTATCTTACAAATAAGTCAATTAACTCCAGCGACATCTAATCATGAAATACAAAGTTAATCTAATATAAATGTCCAATCAACAACAAGGAAATTAGCGCACGCGCAACAATTTTAATGAGTAAGAGCGAATCCATCCTTTATTACGATCCTAGCGCATGCGTATTACGTAGATAATCTCCTGAGTGGAGGCGATAGAGAAATCATGTTAAATAAGTTTGAATGATTTTACCATTGAAGTTTGTCAAAGATTTATCAGTCACATTTACGGTAAGCTTTTTGGAGTGACATAGTAGAAGAATAGAAGTTTTTGTGTTAAGGATGACTAAGAAAAAACGACGCCTTTCAATTCCTTTAGCGAAGCCTTTATGGTTCCTCTAGTGTTCCCGTTATGGTGGTATATTTGGATTTGTTGTAGAAAAGAACTAAGATGGAAACATTTTCAAGCTTTTTAAAAGTTTTAAGAACAGCATGACTTTTGATGTGAAACATATTAAACAATCATTGATGCGTTTCTGATATTCCCTTATTCTACAGTTTGGGATCTATTTCTTAAAATTCATGTATGTCATTGTTATTATCATACCAAGTTTCAGGAAGCAGAGGTAGTATATCTGAATGAATTGAAGTCAAATTCTATATTTGGTTTATAGTTTTAGTTAGATCCAAAGCATAGTTTTGAGCTAGAAAGTATAATAAATGATTATAATAGCAAATGCATTGTATGGCTTATTGTTGTTTTAGTGATATCTGGGCAGAAACCTCATTAAAATAATACACAATTCACTAGCACCGCGGGCATACAAAAATACAGTCTAGGAAAATCAAAATAATTGATGTATTTGTTTCTCCTGCGATGAGCTTTGGTAGCCGGTTAATAATTTCCATAACTGGTAGAAACCCAGATAGTTCACTAGTAATACTGGCATTGCCGTCAGTTTATCATTGTTTTTCAATTCTGTTGAATTTTAACATTTTCAGTTTTCCATGTAATCCGCTGATGAAGGATGATGTTGAACCATTACCTTGCGTTGGAAAGGACGCTTCGCCATGTCCAGGTGGACACCAGTGTATAGTTGAAAAGAAATATAGTATTTGCTGCCCAGAATCAAATGTTACATGCACGGGCAAGGATGGAAAGACGTATCATCCCAGTAGTCCAAAGTGGCACAGTGACGATGAATGTAACTGGTGCTTCTGTGATACATCAGGAAGTATAAATTGTACTGAACAAGCAAGTACACGTGAGTTTAATATTAATTCAATTTTATAATGTGTATAACGAGCATTGCCCCGGAGATCTGGTCATGATTAAATCTATTTCAGAAATAACAATTAATACAACGTATGAAAACGTATATCGAATAAAAAAGACATGCCTTATCCATTTGACATTAGAATATAAACTGTTTTTTATTGTAGTATGTAGGAAAAAATCATGCATCAACAATTGTAGTGGAGAGACAGGTAGGGGCTCATAACCTTTTTTTAATTTTCCGTGGGCCACTCAGTTAAATATTTATTGGACATCATGGTGCAGAGAAATCGTAATCTTACTGAGTAACTCCATGTAAAAATAAACAACGTTATGACCCTCTTAAACGACGTTGTTATTTTATTCTAGTAGTCTTTCATTAAATTACCTTTTAATCATAATCAAAATAGAACGATTATTAAGGTCGGAATATGATTTGGAATAGGAAAAACGCTAAAATTGCTCTATATGAGGAATTTGAGATTGAAGATTTCTTCTCCTACATTTTTATTTGGGATAATTTAAACTTTTTTTCGTTTTTGTACTTGGAATTGATAATTCATATATAAATATATAATTCAATAACATTATATTTGAGATTGTAAGGAATACAAGTTATACATTGCTGGTCGGTCTATTGTACATGTAATTTTGTCATCGCACTTTATACCAGACCTTGCCTTTAAATCGGTATATATCTTATTTGAGATTTATTGTTTCTAATATGTTAGGCGTGGCTACGGAATACTCCCCCTGTGGCTTGGATGAACGAAAGTGCAGTATACAAGCAAAAATAAGTAGATGCTTGGACAACAACAACAACAACAACAACAACAACAACAACAACAACAACAACAACAACAACAACAACAACAACAACAACAACAACAACACAAAAAACGAATTCAGTACATGTGTAGGAAATGTAATCGATTTCAGACAGTGTAATATAAATGCCTGCCCAACTTATGGGAAACAATGGGTGGACAAGAGAATTAAAAGAATAATCGGTGGCACTAAAGTTAAACTAGAAAACAAATGGCCATGGTTTGCTGATGTTAATGGGTTTTGCGCTGGATCTGTTATTAGCCCTGTACATATTCTAACTGCGGCACATTGCGTGGCGAATATTGAAGAACCAATAGGCGCCGATGGGAAGTACCTCATCCGAGAAAATATCACAATAGTTACAGGGAAATATCATCGTTTAGATGATGAACCTTTAGAACAGAAAAGAACAGCAAATAAAGTATTCGTTTATGATGGATTCAGACGGTTACAACATAGGACTATTCCATTAAAGAATGACATTGCTATCGTGAAGGTCGATCCTCTTGAATTTAACAAAGCCACCCAGCCTGTGGCTTTACCAATCACAAATACGTTTGACAGAGACACATCCAATGATAAACTGTGTATGATAACCGGTTGGGGAGCTACTGAAATGACCGAAGAAGAATTAAAAGATATTCCTGATTACATGCTAGAATATTCTGAATATTTTACCGTAGGTATAAAGTAGGTATCCGCACTACAATCGAATCATATGTCATTGATAAAACAACGTAATATGTTTATAATTGTTAAACACAAAAGAAAATAATAGTACAATGCCGTCATTTCGAAGGGCTATATGAAATATTAGACCGAGGGCCGAAGGAATCCAAGGTCCAATAGTTCACTATGTTGCCCGCAGAAATGTCGTTATTAGTATTATTACCACCGTTAATGACTAGGACTGAAACATCAAGAAAATCTTACGCACTGAACGATATCTAATTTCCCGGGGAAAATTGCCGGTCATTAATTGCATTCTTGACTGGCAATATGGACCGCCACTATGAAAGCCTTCTAAACTAGCACCAAAACCCCTAGAACTGGCCTGGCAAGGAGGTAATAATATTTTTATCATCAACAGTTAGCGTCCACATATCTCGCAAATAGTGTATATTTAAAAAAAAAATACTGTACATGCTTCTATCGCTGTTCAAAGCCAAAGTACTCATACGAAATAAAAATATCATTTTTATGCACAGATGATATGTCGAGTACTACAGTGTGAGATTAAACCGTGACACACAGTGAAACTGACTTAAGCTCCTTGTGTATGCAAATTTTAATTAAAAATTTAACATTTCTTTATCAGATATATATATGGATAGATATATGGGAGATTTGTTTCCCTAGGTACAAAAGCTAGTTGATTAATACTATTATTATGAATTGAATAATAATGTACGATTTTCAGGTATCCTAAAACGCTGCTTGAGGCGAATGTGTCAATTCTGAGCGATTGTGGTATATACAGGCTCGAGGATATAGAGTATATAAATGGATTCTGTATAGATGGCGCCAATGGGTGACTATTATTTACTTTTCTTGTATAAACCATGACATGTTACCACTTGAATCATTTGCGTATGATTGCATATGTTGCTTTCTATAAAAGAAGCGAAAGGGCAGATTATACTGGAAAAGACCAAAGATGACTACAAAACACAGCAAAATAACATCTAGGTTAATAACCAAACATAGTACAGGGGCGTAGCCAGTCAAGGGGGAGGAGGGTGCGATCGCCAAAATATTTTGGCTTTCAGTCCGGGGGGTGTGATTGTGGCATAAACAAGCAAAAAACGGCTATCAAATTCACAAAGAAACAATATACTGACCCCACCCCCATCGTCATTGAATAATCAAAATTTCATTACCATTAGAGCGAGTTGTATAGGCGACTCGGGTGGACCTTTAATGTGCAGTGACGAGGGAGGGAAGTGGACGCAATATGGCATCAGTACCTTTGGAGCAGGCCAACCAAAGACACCATATTGTTCACGTCCAGACGTCTATACGAACATTGTCAAATTCCTGGAGTGGATTAAAGAAAAAGTATCGACCAATGGAAAATGGGGGAAATTCAGTCGATGGACGGAATGTGCGCCATGTCCATCGGGATACAAGTATGTTTAAAATATGTTCCTTATGACTGGTGTAAACTTTTATGTGTTTTTTCTTGCTGCTGTGTTCCGTGACAAGTTTTGCTTCTATACCCTACGCACTTGCAATTGTGCATATATGTTTTCATATATAGTAGTCAAAGAGCACAGTGCGAATCTACACAGATGATATGAGAATGATGTATCACAAAGTACTTTTACTCTGAAGTTTGTGAGTACTTTTGTGATCTAACTCTCTTCGAGAGATTGTACATTTAGAGGCAATGAAGCCTCAAGATCCAAATCAGATGTTTCATCATTGCCATTATGCATTTTAGCTGGTGGTGGGGAAATGGTGATCTTGAAATCCGGTAAAATGCAAGCTGGCGAAAAACACCTTTTTAAATTTAACTTCATTTGCGGTGGTCATGGTCAGACATTGTGTAGCTGTTATATTAGTGCAGTTTCATTTTAAACCAACTAAAAATTTCAAAAAGGCCGTCGTTTTATTTTCAATATTTCATTGAAGTGCCATACTTATATTATTACCAACTCAGAGTTTTTATAGATCCCAGTAAACCTTGAAGGTCCTGTTTAAGATGTATGCAATGGACTTGTTGAGACTCGATCAGCTTGAGTTCTTCTGAGAAAATAGGATTTGAATCTATCCCCATGGTGACTTATAATTACATGATGGTATTACGATGCTAACTCATTATCTATGACATTTTCATGAGGACATTCCGCTGGCCATTCGGGATTTGTAGAATATCACTTGTGAAAGATGCACAAAATGGAATTAAATATTTGTACATTATTTCCACATTCATTCCATGCATAGTCCTTTGCTAATATTCACTTTTTATCATCTACAGGTCAAAGGTCAGAGTGTGTACGAATCCTGAACCTATAGGAAACGGTACATGTCTGATGCCAAAAGGACTTCTATACAAGGACAATGCGACGGGCTACATAGCGGACATTGTCACAAAGTCTTGCAAATGTTAATCGATTACAAAAAGATCTGAATATGTAATGAGTGGTGCATTATTGCTTATACACGAATAATAATAAGCTGTGTTTTGTTATTCTCCGCTGCCATCTACTGTTGATATTACCCTACTATCACACCAAACTAGTTCTCACTACGTTCTCGAAAACGGGCTTCAACTGTGTACGAACGGACTGGACGTACTTAGAACCGTTTGGGGTCTATTTACAAACTTCATCGAACGTACTCGAACATGTAGGTCCTCTAGAACTTAGAACATGCTCAAAATGTTCTATTGGTCGTCAGGTTCTACAATTAGAACGAGTGACAACCTACTAACGACGAGCTGGACGTACTACGAACGGAACCGTCGTACTTAAATCCTACTAGGGACGATTTTACAACGAGTTGAACTGTCTGAGGACGTATTGAGAGCGAGGTAGAACTAATTGCAAACGGGTTAAAACTGATTAAGAACGTATCTATCAACGAGTCAGCAAAAATATAGCTATCACACCAAGCAAGTTGCCACTGCGTTCTTCAAAACTGGTTTTACTGTGTGCGAACGGAATGAACGTAGCTACAACGTTCTACGGTCTGTTTACGAACTTCATGAACTTTCCCGGACGGGGAACGTGATTTAGAATTTTGAATCGATTCAAAATTCGATGGCGACCATACCGTTCTGTAATTTCTAGACTAGGGGTCGCGTTATACGAAGTTGCACACCGACGTGGTGCGGCCTGAATGAACTGCGAATGAGTTTGACGTATTGAAGACTGTTTATGAACGAAGTAGCTAATTATTTTAGACATATTTACCGGCCAGATCGATTGAGCCCGTTTTACGACGTTTTCGTAGGACTGGCAAGAACGGGTAAGAACTAGTTTGGTGTGATAGGGGGGTTAGTGATGCAACCGCCTAGACAGTTAGGGATAACTCCACTATTAAATGCCCCCATACAATTCAATTGAAAAACATGCAAATCTTCGGATCAATTAAGAAAAAACTAAGATTTCAGTTACCAAACCACATATACCATGTTATAGCTCCATATTTCCCCCTTGGAACTCGAAATGTCTCTAGAAAAAAGAGCCACCAAAATAAAAAGACCTGACCGCTTTTTCCGCCATCTTTTCGAATTTTCAACACTTCAACAGATTTCAAACTCAAGACCACTGTCACAAAAAGTCAAATATTTGTAGTGAACAAATAATTTCGTAATACTTTTTATAAAATTATAAACACACGAGATAAACAAAATAAAAATGGATTTCCATCAACAATTATACCGATTTTTACACGTAGATTTTTTGTCTTCTACTTTTTCAACCGCGACATCTGTGGAGAAATTCCTTATTTGGAGCGCCCCCCAGATTTCCAAAATCTTGATCTAAAGCACTAGAAAATATGGCCAAATTAGCCTCCTTTTCTTCTTTAACAGTTTCATAACCATCAATCCAAACCCAAACAGTCATGAAACATTCCAATCATACACACCAGGAAGATATACATGTAGATTATAATGCTACTAGTTAATCTACAACTGCAGAAATGTAAAATGTCTTTACAAAATTGAAAAATAATCAAACTTATGCGAGACGATAATTAGGCAACCGGTTTAGATGGTCGTGTACTTGCTTTTCACGATGGTAGGGGACTTGCGTTGCGTATAGACCTAACTCTCAGGAGCAGAAGCTATGACCAAATGGTCAATTAAGGCATCAGACTTCGAAACACACTTCTGATGGTCCCGGCCATGGCAAGCATTTTCTTTTTTCTTTTTCTTTCTTTATTTCAGAGTCACAATATTTTATTTATCTACTATGGTAGCATATTTATTACTTTTTGGGGTTTTAATTAAAACATCCAGTGCTCAGTGCTCCCTTATTTATACTTAACACGAAATCAAATGATAAATGTTTTAATAATAATTTAAGTGGCATTATCATCACATCATAAATATTATTCAATGGGTCACATCTGTGACGGCTTTTATTAATGGAGTCGATAAAAACCTTTATGGTCTGACAATGATCTCCACCATGAACAGAATCAAACCATTAACAATAAAGTAACCACCCTGGTTGTTTGAAGTTGAGCTTAGAACTGTCATTAAACCTGCACAAAACAAAAGTCATTATTTCCTCACCAAAAGAGAGAAATTCATCAATACCAGGGAGACATGGAATACCTCAATATATTTTAGTCACATGGTATCTAATTGACCAATGAGAGAATGAGTATCACGACATGGAAATAATGAGATCCGTGACATTTATATAAGGCGAGTGAAAAAAAGATAGTACTTTCTTAGAGCAATTATTGACGATAAAGACGTTAAACTTTCATCGAAACAGCAACTTTTTGTTAAGCAAATTTTTGTTAAGGCAGAAGGTACATGTATATATAATCATATATTTGGTGATTGATGTTACGCGCAAAATGGCATTTATCCATCGTACTGCGGTAGTTGTGACTTATCTCATATTCCGCAGGCCAGTATGACATATGCAACAGGTGAGTATTGGGCATCTACTAAAATCAATGTATGTCTTACTCCTCTGCGGAATATGTGGTATGACAAGTGACATATAACGAACCTGATAACTTGATAAAGAAAGCCTATTTGGTGTGTCGCGAGAATCTACTCTAAATGTAAAACTACACTGGATCAAGGTGATGGTTTTGGTATTTGTTCGTTATTTCCACAAAAAATAAAAACAGATAACCAATTTTCAAGTTTCACTTTGAAAAGTATTTTGGGTTCGTTACGATATAGTAACCACTGGCAATATCTTTGTTTTATTATTTAGGAAATAGAGTTGGATAATCGTCGGTGAAAATACCAGGAAGTCAATTAATACATAACAAACCTTAATTTCCTGAAATAACTGAAAATAATACATGTGTAAGTGCTGATTTTATTTTATGTGGAAGCTACTGGTACTAATTTATATTTTATTATTTTTTTATCTATTTATTGAATATCAAATTGACAGTATTTTAGATTTGAATTCAGCTTCTTCGGCATCGCGATGTGGTGAGTCATTTACTTGTTATTAATTTCAAGTTGTTTTAGCTTTTGGAAAATATTCTTGTTCATTTGTCTTTTTGTCTCATTTTCCTGAATATATTGTTGATCTCCTTCTTTGTTACATTCTTATTGTCGTTTTGGCATATACACGGTTTTACAAATGAACCTTACAAAATAATATATCAAAGATGTGTTAAAAGGCTCTGATAAAGGGACCATATGTCAATGAACTATTTACCTAATTAAATTATTGTTTTTAGGTTGACTGCTCTGTTATCGAGTATATTGGTGAGACCCTCAACTACACATTTTTATTCAAATTGTCAAAACGGTAAAAATCAAAACATGGGTTTTGAATCTGCCGTTTATCTGTTTATCCGAAATTCCGAGCAAATATCATTAATTACACACTGAACTGTTTCAACATTAATTGAAAAGTTATTTATAAATCAAAAATTCTCATATCTTCGTCCACTCGTAGTTTTTAAATGATTTCTTTCGGGATGATGTGATATTATATAGTACAAATGTACTGTATATGATGCATTCGTGCCCTGAATTTTCGATCATATATGTGATGAAAAAGTACAACAAGTTATACTTGAAAGCTCGGCCTTCTTTGCTAAATCATTCATTTGATAAACAATTCCTGTGGTATTATGTGTCAGTGAGTTGCTGACCAGTGTAGCATGTTATCGGTGAAGATGACTGGATCTGAATAAACTAAACAATGATTAAAGGTCGTTATGGTGTTATGTGACGGTGACCTCCCTGCTGACAATGTTAGAGCGATCATCACTGTTCACGATGCGACAGGTATGAATACGGGGATGAGTCTCATCGATGCGCACAAGGTGAGACGCGACGTAGACTCTCACGATTCCACGGACCAATTTCATCTCACGATACAAGTAAGTTCCTTACAAGTATCAAAAATATTCATTTGAAAACTTATTTTAAATTTTGCAGCACGTGTGACGAAAAAGCATTTTCTTTCAAAGGTACGTCCAACTTTTTGCTTTCAAATTGTTCAAATGCCATAAAAAGTACTTATTGTCTCCTTGCCTTATTGATAGGGGTAATTTCCGTCATCATCGGAGAAGTATGATAAAACGCTAGTTTATTAAAAAGTAAGATAATGAGCCTATTTATTTTGTAATGTATCTGAAAATTGATATTTGATAATTATTTCACTTTTTAATAATATAAGCGGGATATGCTGGTTGTTATATCGTAAAAGAGGATCACGCACTAATCTGTTAGATTAATCACAAATAATCCGATACACGTAATCCGAAATGTTCTAACCTCATTATCGTACCCATTTGCTGAATACACCCTTTATAAAAAGCTAAGATTCACCATAACTTCTTGCAGTCTAAAACATATTGCAAAAACAAAGTATTATAATGACGATCTGCAATCCATAATTTCTATGTTAATAAAACAACGAAATCTTAGTTGTCATTGAGAAGATGTTCTGATCACTGGCTGATAAGAAAGTCGTTAATATTTATATAAATTGCATGGAGACCATCTATCAAAAATGGAGCCAATGTGTGCTTCTTTTTTATCTTTGATTTCTATAATGCATGTAATGTCGCATCGTTTGCATGCATCCTAGTTTTCAGATGACGTGAATAGAATTGTGAATAACATCGTTTAAATCTTCATGATAAAATCACTGTTCCACAGCTGGATGACTCTAACTGCAGTTAGCTTCATTCAAGATGGTTGCCGAGATTATTTCGTTTTCGATAAACCTCCGATTTTAGCAAAACTAAGTTGAATCTTGATTCCAAAAGTTTCGCTTTGCAAATTAATAAATCTACGATTGTATTCAACCAGAAATGAATGCCAAAACACCCGCAAGAATTCTAAAGAAAACGGCTTCACTTATCTAATGACTCTAACAGAAGTTGATGATCTTGATGTCATCATTACGCCATCATCAACTTCAGTTAGAGTCATTCTAAGTGAAGCCATTTTCTTTCAAATTCTCCAATATCGTGGTTGTTTGAGCATTTATATGAGGTTATTTACCATCGTAGCTTCTGTTACGCGGTATATGGCATACATTCATGGTTGCGCGGTATTTGTGATACGGGTGAATATGCCATACTCACCTGCGGTATATGGCATATTCCGCAGGTGAGTATGCGATATTCCGCAGTGAATATGTGATACATTGATTTCAGTGAATACCCGATACTCACCTGCGGAATATGTCATACTCACTTGCAGAATATGGCATATACCGCAGGTGAATATGACATATACCGCAGGTGAAAACGTACAGAAAGCCTTGATTTGATTGGTTGCGAGAATCGACTCTAAATGTAAAACTACGCTGGATTACCATTATAGTTAGTGCGTCGAGTACTAATATATGAATCCTGGATTGATTGAGTAAGTTTATTACGCGAGATTGGTGACTGATACTTCTGCTAAGTTGATATATTCGATACACAGTACTGTTGATTCAGTAATCATTACAATAATTAATAACGTTTTACTATTTCGTTCAATCGATTCAATTGACAATTGCGTACTTCCGTATCACGTTCTCATTGGTAAGTTTGTATGCCATATACCGCAGGTGAATCTGTCATACACCGCAAGTGAATATGTCATATTCGTTGCGGAATATGACATATTTTTGTATCGTGTTTACCGCGTAACAGCTTCACTAATTTGCATGGCGAAACATTTGGAATCCAGATTCAAATAAGTTTAGCTGAAATCGGAGGTTTATCGAAAACGAAAGAATTTCGGCAACCATCTTGAATGAAGCTAACTGCAGTTAGAGTCATCCAGCTATGGAACAGTGAAAATAAACAATTGATTTAAAATGTTGCCACTTGTGATTTTTCTTGTTTGACATGTCTTCACGCGTGAGAAGAAGTTATTCAATGTCGTTGGTGTGTAATAGTAAAAACCTTAAAATCAAACTTTTGATTTGAAATTGTGACAATCAACAGGAATCTACGTTTTGTATATTCAATTGATTCTGCTGGCCTGTTCAATTCATTTATATTTTTATAACGGTATCTTGTAGACCTCTTATTTTTCATATGACCAGAGTAAATATAAATTATATGCAACGAATTCAACAAGAAATGCTTTAAAGTCAAATCAAAAGTAAATTTTATGTTCGTTGTTGATAAAATATTTTCTCGTATACCTATAGTAGGCCAATTGTATTTGATGTTTAATAAAATAAAGACTACGCAATATTATCTCATTTATGTTTAACTTTAGGCTGGTTTTGATATCCATGTTATAAGACTCAAAAGGGATGCCAGCGTATTAGCGGGCTCGGAATTCAAGTCTACTTACGTCACCGAGGATGGTGAACAATTAGAACATAATACATTTGACAAACGTTGTGTATACAGCGGGAAAACCACGTCTGTAATCAATGACGAGCAGTACAGCTGTCATGTGACAGCCACAGTGTGTGATGGCAAAATGGTAGGCCCGTGTCTTGTACTTATTTTGTTTAGACGCATTAAAGCAATCTCCTGAACTTGTCTGAATCAAAAATATGCTTGTTTGTATGAATAAATGAAGTTGACTTTTGAGAAAGTCACAAAATACTAAATGCCATTTTATAAAATCAAAGAAAATGACGCTCGATTTTCGTTAAGACTGATGAATGGAACAAAAGGTGGTCATGTTCCATTACTCCACTCGATTACGCTGATTACGCAAAATGTGTCGGAACTTCGAGAGTAATAGCGTAATCGAGCGAAGTACCAGTGTTTTGTGAAACGAGTTTCTTTCCAGATTGGACTCATTAAATGTGGGAAGAATATGAAAGCAATAATACCATCAAACGACAATTTAGATCAAAATAAAGATACTGCCGATCATGTTATGTACAACGTGAATGATCATGAGCTATTTCAAGAAAGGATCAAGAGGGGAGATCCAACGGGAACTACACAGGACTACATGAAACCAGACAAAAACGACAACGACACGATGTCCCAAACTGAAGGTACTCTTTTATTGTTATTAGTGATTCATATTCCCCAGCTTTTTTAGATTTTGCAAGTTTAGGTGATCAGATAGACATTTGGAAATTAAAGAAATCATAACTTTATCATTGGTGTCAAAAGGTTATGTTCATCACAGTATCCCCGGGGACCGCATCATCATATTCTAAATGTTTAATGAAAATACACACAATTACGCAAAGAGACAAAAAATTAGCAATTAGCAAGACTTACTGAACGTCCTGATTAAACGGGGATTAAACCTTGTAGCTAATGCCTCGGTCACATTAGTGCTTGCAACGGTAATGGATCTCACTGCCGGTAAATTTCATCTCCATTACCTTACCGTTACCGATAATCGTTGATACTGATACTGTTCCTAAAACCCCGGGGAAAAATCTGAAAGTGAAACTAAAATATTTGGAAAAATCCTTAACGAAGCCGATTTCTCGGCTTGATTTCCCGCTCACATCAACTACAGTGGATATATTGTATCATCATGTATCTCGTGTGTGATTGTGTATTGTTAGGAAGTCTTTGAATGATAATATAGAGTGAATTCGATCAAAATTGATCAAATTATTTGTGTTTGTTTTTACTTCACCGAAATATCACGTCACGTGATTTGTTAATCTCGCAGCATGGGAGATGATTGACAGAGATGGGTGGGGTTTTGCTTATCCTCCCACCTTTTACGAATGCTTTGCAGTTGATTGACAGATTAGCTCTTCAAATGTGGAGATTGAAATATACATGATTGATAAAATATTCTTAAACGAACATTGTTTCGTAAATTTGACAATGGATTGCAATGCCAATCATCATGTTGCAGCAGCATGGCGATTATCGGCAATGGATTTTATTACCGGCAATTGAGAGTATCTACTGCCGCTGCCGACAATCCGGCATTACCGTAAGGCACTAGGTCACATTTGATCTACCATAGGGCTTACGTAGTTTACCAAAATTGAGAAAAGGGAATATAATAGTTACAATTTTTGGGCAAGATCACTGAGCTATAGGTATTCTAGAGACACCAGAAAAATGTATTGGTCAACTTTTTTTATCCAATCATTTACAACATAATCGCGCCATTGAATGCCTATATTATACGAAGTAAAATAAAGTTATTTGTGATACGTCATACATAGGACTGCTTGTTGTTCAACGATACTTCTTCGTGGTGGATGTAAAAAAAGTATTTATATCCACGCGTTCACACAACAATGTAACATTAGGTAAAAAGCAGTGATTTACTTTATTTTAAGTGTGCATAGATAAAACATTCAAACGATTCCCCGGTACAGCAATGCCAGGGACGCCCAAGAAGTCGGTGCCAAATCTTACACGAGATGGCTGTAAAGCTGCCTGCCTTCAAGAGACAACGTTTGTTTGTAAAGCATGTGATTACAACATGAAGACGAAAGAATGTAGACTTAATACTGAATCGGTCGCAACAGCTAGCCACGGTGCCCCTGGACAAGAGTGGTTTATATACTATATCGTAGAATGCAAATCAGGTAACAGGAGTTGCATCCCGGGAGTAGTATGTAGTGTCTAAATAGAACTGAGATTAACATATCTTATGTTACTCTCAAATTAGGACAGTGCTTGGTGTAGGTTTTTGACCGATCGAAAGAAAATCAACAATCGAAGATTTGAATTTGAGATTATAAAGCATATTTTAAATTAATTTGGTTCAATATTTAGTTGAAAGAAAATCACAGAGTGTACATATTACAGCAAAAACAGTGAAAGTGAAATAACCTTCGTCAGAGATGCAATCTTGAAGTATCTCGTGTAGAACGAGATCTCGTTGATACACTGAAGCTTGTGGCCGTGGGTAGTTTAAAATGGGACGTACTGGAAATAGCATATCCTTGTTTTTCGCATCGTAGCCTAAATACTAAATTGAATTATTCTTGATAAATACATACACTTTATTTGTACAATCTCACAGCCACAAAGTGCAAAGCAACCAGTAAGGGCCGAGAGTATGTTGGAACGAAGAGTACAACTCTGAAAGGTCATACATGTCAGCGTTGGGACAGCCAAACACCACACAGTCATACTAGAAATAACCCTGATAACTTCCCAGAGAAGACATTGGCAGACGCAGCTAATTATTGCAGGTCTGTGTCTGTAATCATTAACAGTATTTTAGGAATTTTAGGCAGTGTTGAAAAGTGTAAAAGAATATAACACACAGTAATGGTGTTTGTATGATCTAAAAACCATTTGGCACTTAAAAGGAGAGAATCGAGTCAACCATTTTCAAGACAACCTAAGAAAATGTCCAAAACAAGTAACACATAACACATGTCACACGAGGGATTGAAATCAGATTTTGAAGATATCTGTATGAAAATCTCAAACAGAATGGTTTTGGCATGTTGGGTAAATGCTGTGGCGGCCATTTTGGATTTTCCTTCAGAAAATTCTTGATTATAATGGTATGTACATCACATATATCCGTACCTTGTGCATTATTTTAAGACCGAAAAATATATAAATGAAGTTTATATCAATCTTATTCTTAAAGAAATCCCGATGGCGAACCTGGAGGCCCATGGTGTTACACAACTAACCCAGGTGAACGATTTGAATACTGCGGAATACCGTTTTGTAATGACGACAACCCTGGCTTGGTCAACGTGACTTTGTCAGGTAAGATTTATTGTGCAATTAATATAGTTATGGCTTAAGCATATGGCCACCCATGGGCTTTCAAGAGATTTATTCATTGTGGCAATGGTTTTGTTCGATCATCGTTTGGTATATTGGGGTTTTATTATCTTTATACTGATTGGCTGATTAGGTAATAGGTATCCTCTTGCGATTGACCACAGATCCGGAGCCAGCTCCAGCCCCTTTGGTAGTAGGCTCAAAGAATAAATGAGTATATTTACCATGAGCCCAGATACCAAGAAGAGGTATCTGGCAGAGGTCCGTGCGATTGACATACTTTCTTGATTTTTCCCATTTGTACTTATGCTAGATATTTATTAATAGAGAAAAGTCTTAAAGTAATGGTTCGTGCATTTAAGATTGTCAAACCAAAGGTGGGAATTTCTATGACAACCATTGCTACTGGATCAGTTCTGGCCAAGATGCTAAAGGTCATGTCGAAGCTAAGAGCGCATGCGCAAATCTCGGAGCGAGGCTAGTCAGTCTTGACACTGCCAATGAGTATTCATCTGTCAAGGCGCTGATTGCAAACAAAACTGTAGCTGGAGAGTCACGATGGATGACAAGTGGATTGGAAGTTGGCGTACATGAACCAAGGCAATGGGCATGGGACCTTGGGTCTTGGTATAAGGTACGGTAATAGCAGATCTATTCATACTTTTGTTGCTTTTGATTTCCCCAAATGCACCGTATTATTAAAATATTGCAATTTGCGTCAGGATAATTATTTGGTTCGTTCGTTCGAGGGTGAATAAGTTGCTTCTTGGGCCTTGCTCACCAAGTCGTGGAATATTCTCACTGGTGTATGAAACTATAACATCTATGTTGTTGTGAAAATGATGATTGCCCTAAAATATTAAGATTTATTACTCTCTATACGCAACTTGAACAGATTAGAGTTTCAATCTTGTAGAATTACAATAAATAAATTAAAATACTAATGCAATGCACTCAAGAAGCGAAATTCAAATTAATGATGTACAAATGAAAAACACAGATATCTAATAATGCGCTGATTAATTGTGTTATCAAGCAGAAACATACATAATACTGTTTACAATCTGTATTCTAAGAGTCTAGAGTAAAGCTGATTCCACGGTTCCCTTAGTTATCTCACTTCAAAATGGGAGTAGCACATCGATAATGTTATATGATGTTTTAGCCGGCCCATATCCAATTGACGGGAATGACAAATGACAAGGACCAGAAATGTATAATAATCAAAAACGGGTCGAATTTGGAAGTAGACAATTGTCACTCAGCCACCTCTGATTATTACTACGTCTGTGAAGCAGGTCAGATTTAAAATAGCTTATACCAAAATTTTCCTTTTACTTAGGTTTTCAAAAATTGACTTTCAAAAGTATTTTTGCAAACTTATGCTATCCCGCAATCCCACATGTAACAGTGCTGCCATCTATCTTTCTCATTAAAATGAAATAACTTCATTAGTTATCAATTGTCGTTGTTTCTAAAACAATGTTTGTTAACTTATTCATGAGTTTTTTTATATTATGGTACAAATAGGAGAGGAATCCCTAGATGAGAGACCGGCAAATTTTGAGACAAGTATGTTTATTGGTGGTAATCTAACGGCAGAAATATCAAAGGTGTACAATGGAAACCTACAGGATATGACAAACTACATCGTTATTTTCGTTAATGGAGTAAGAACATATTTTCACTTTTCAACAGCCACGAATCGCTAATCTTGAACACTAGAATGATTAATAATGACCACAATTCTCTCTTCTATTGCGACTTTTCTGCATTTTCTGGTCGCCGTACGGTCGCAGTATCATGTGCAAGTCTGAGGGAGCCTTAACGAGAAATGAACAAATTTGGAGTGCGTTTTTTTAATTTTTACTGAATTTTGGTTGCAGCTCGGTGCCATGCTCCATGACCCCAACCTTGTGCGACCCATCAGTACTACTGTAACACGAGTATTCTTCCACCAGAATACACCAGTGAGTAATTTATCTGACTAACCTTGTATTCGCGAATGCAAATAGCGCCTATCGGCTAGCGGATTAACCTAGTATTTATTTAAATATCAATGGAATACTGGCAGGATCTATTATATTAAATGAGTTACCTATAAAATATTAGGTCAATCCGATAGCCGTTGGGCGTTAGTTGCATTTGTTAATACAAGCTATGATTAAATAATCCGTTCACGTACATTTGATTCACTAACACGTGATCCAAATCCGTACAAGCAACATGCATTTATTTCTGATTAGAACACACACATATTTATTGGCTTTATTTCATTCTAAATCAGCTCCAGTGGTATGATACCGATAAGACTGACTGCCAACATCTTGGTAAAGTATCGAGTTATCAGGCAGCCCATGCTGAAAGAAGCGCTTGGGACGTGGCACATTTTCTTGTCAAGTAAGTTGAGGTTTGGCTTAACCAACATAGTATTCGTTATCGCCATGAAATGGTATGTATCGCATTGTATCATGTAACAATCTTGGATCCATTATGCTTGTATTCGCGAATGCAACTAACGCATGTCGGAGCTACCGGATTAAATTACTATTTTATGGGTAACTCATTTGAATATGAATAGGACCTGCCATTATTCCATTCATATTTACATGAGCTGGCCATAAAATAGTAGGTTAATCCGTTAGCCGACAGGTGTTAGTTTCTTTCGCTAATACAAAAAAGAGTATCTCGAATTGATCAAAATGCTAATTGCATTTGACTTTATTTCAGAAGTGTCTGTGGTGCAGTTGGTTGGGGTTGGGTTGGCGGTTTGTGCCATAATAAGTACAGCACTTCAATATGTCAGGCAAACGCGCATTTCAGTGGTATTGTATGCCTTGCCCACGAGCTAGGACACGTGTAAGCATTGATTGTCATTTTACTTGACTGACTGACTGAAACAACAGTTCTAATCATGGGGACCTGTTCTCAAAAATCATAAGTGTTAACAGTAAGGGCGACTGTACCTATAGTGTCAACCAAAAAATTCTAAAGACGATTCGTTAAGGTTTTATGTCCTGTTGCAGAACCCCTGCTTTTAATCTTTTGAAACAGTAAACCAAAAATGTCTTCGTTAAGGTTTTATGTCCTGTCGCAAAACTCCGTCAAGTTGATTTATTTTTTACAAATTTTGCAAATCCCTTGGAGTTTTTTTAAAATCACATTCGAAGACTTTGGGTTTCAAGAAAACAATTTTTTTCCGAGGCTAGACATTTTTCTCTCGTCATGACATGAAATTGATTTTTAAAATGAAAACTTGATTAACATCATTACTTCTGAATTTGGCATAGAATACTTACTCAGATATGTATTTTTGTTATCATGATTATTGACTATTTTTATAAATTGTGGTGAAGTGAATGATGTCTTCTCAGACCACTATCGCCATCTTTCTGTCTATCTAAGACTTGTGAAAATTGATTCAAACACTGGCTGATCCAGGGGTCCATGTGGGCCCAGAAAAATAATTGAGGGCCTTTTAGGCCAAATTATCAAAAATGGGCTTCAAAATCCCCCATTGTTAGTTTCTGGCCATGGACCAGCCTGTGTCGAATGCAGAACCATCAAGTGCTGGTATTAAAATATATTTCTATACTTTTAGTATGGGTATGAAACACGATGCTAGTTATAAAGAGCGCAGTGACTGCTTCCTTCAGTCACCAAGTGGTTATATGATGAGCGGAGGATCTACAGGGTTTTCACCATGTGGTGCAGAGAGTTTTAAAAACAAGATGAGGTGCCGTTATTTCATCTAGTTTTATGGGTGTTTTTCTTTATTTTATTTCATTTTCAAATGGCGTTGTACTTATCATTATGATCGAAAATCAGAGATATGTAGATGCATTTAAATTATTTATGTCTGTAACTTTGTTTCCACGTTGGAACGTCAGTTGTGGTAGTGCGATGTAATCCATTGACTGTCTGTGCTTGTTTTCCGATGTATTCGTTTGTATTTTGTAATTGTGCCCTTTTAACATGCCTTTGTTTTCACTTTGCACTTTTGCATTTTCCTCGTTGTGTTTAAAAACGGTGTCATTTCTACAGGAGCTTTGGGCCATCGGCGTGTTTGTATGATAATACATATGAAGACTACGAACTAGCTAATATGGTTGAGGGATACGAACTTCCAGGTCAACGTTTTGACATTAACAAGCAATGTGAAACAAACTTGGGAGCCAATTACTCTTATATGAGAGATGATGGCAACAAGGGATATATGATTGGTTCAAGTCTGGTACGTACGAATATTGTTCAGTTCACATGGTATACTTTACAATCGCTAACTTGTCCGTCTGTCAGTTTGCCCATCCGTAAGTCTTTCAGTCAACAATATGGCTCATGTTTCAAAAACTTGTCTATTTTCAAAATGGCCACCATTTTTGTCACGGAAAATTCACTTTTAGACCATTTAGTAGCTGCAGGTGCCCTATATTGTAATAAAAACCTTTAAGCTACTGTAAACAATAGTTTTTTGAGATTTTATTGGTGGCTTAAAGCCCGGTATACACCAATGGGGCAAGTTGGGACCTCCATAGACTTAACATTGCGTGGGACCTCGTGGGACCTTTTGGGATTTTGCCCCATGAAGTCCGTGGGACTCCATGGGACTCCGTGGGATTTTGCCCCATCTTGCCCCATCGAGTCCCACGAGGTCCCATGAGGTCCCATGAAGTCCCACGTGGGACTCGATGGGGCAAGATCGGGCAAAATCCCACGAAGTCCCATGGAGTCCCATCGAGAATGAACATCTTCATTCTTTCCATGGGGCATCGTGGGATTTTCGATCATATGACGTGTTGTGTGAAGCCCGACATACACCAATGGGGCACGGTGGGATTTGATGGGACTCCATGGGGCTTGATGGGACTCCATGGGGCACGATGGGGCAAAGTCATCAAGGTCCCATGGGACTTCGTGGGCTTCGATGGGGCAAATTGGGATTCGATGGGGCAAGATGGGACTCGATTGGGCAAGTCGGATTTTGCCCCATTGGTGTATACCGGGCTTTAGTCGCGGAAATTTCACTTTGGAACCATTTAGTAGCTGTGTAACCCTACTATCACACCAAACTAGTTCTCCCTACGTTCTCGAAAACTGGCTTTAACTGTGCACGAACGGATTTGACGTACTAAGAACCCACTAAGAACCGTTTCGGATCTGTTTACAAACTTCATGAAACTACTAGAACGAGTAGGTCCTCCAGAACTCAGAGCATGCTCAACATTTTCTGGTGATCATCAAAACGTTGCCGAATCGGTTTTAAACTGTGTGCGAACTAAATGAACGTAGCTACAACGTTCTACGGTCTGTTTACGAACTTCATGGACGGGGAATGTGATTTAGAATTTTGAATCGATTCAAAATTCTATGGCGACCATACCGTTCTATAATCAGGTCATGATGACCTTCTAGACCAAGGGACGCGTTATACGACGTTGCACACAGATGTGGTGCGACCTGAACGAACTGCGAATGAGATGGACGTATTGAAGACTGTTTATAAACGAAGAAGCTAATTATTTTAGACATATTTCCCGACCACAGCCAGATTGAGCCCGTTTTACGACGACAGTCGTAGGACTGGCAACAACGGGTAAGAACTAGTTTGGTGTGATAGGGGGGTAAATAGTTTCAGGTGTTCTGCATTGTAAAAATATGTTAACAGTAATTTGATGAGAGAATCTGCAAAAATTATAGCCGTTTCTTTATGTATATTGTAGTATATGATAATATTATAATGACATTTCAATGCTCATTGTAGGGTGTTTGTGAAAATGATATACAATGTATCAACTATAATAACTATGACATCAGAACAGCAAAAGGTGTTGGGAACTTAGAGGGAACGTATTGCTCTGGCACTAAAGTAAGTGTACTGCCATTAGACAACATTACATTGGATTATTTATCAAAATGAATTGGAATTCAACTCAAAAATTGCAGAATGTAATGAGTGTACACATTCCTAGTGTTATTCGTTCATCAACAGTTTGATTTAAATAAACATTGTTTCTCAAATAGTTGTTTTACATGCACTTTTATCAGTAAAACCTATCCCAGGTCTTGGGAACATTTCATCTTTGTTACGTTTTGTCAAAGGATGTTTCGTAAAAGAAATCAATAGCATTTTCAAAATATGAATAAGTACATAGGATTGAAATTACACATATTCACGAGAATTGAAAGGGGTATTCGATTTTCCTTTTCACGTTAGATCATGGTTTTAGGATATATGGGATTTGTTTTCCTTGTGACTGGTATGCCCTGAGACTTCATATTTTCTTTGGTACTTTTCACGTGCTTAAATATTTATTTCTGGAACGCCTGGTTAATTTTATGGAGGGAAAAGCATGTACAAGAGCTCAATACATTTAGATTCATTATTTCAAAAGTGGTGTAGACGTAACACAAGGTGTACAGACTGGACTACAGATGCTGATAAGTTGTGGGAGAACCTTGGACGCCCTCAGGTAGTACAAGGAGGCTGGAGTCCGTGGGGTCTCTGGACTCAATGTACCTCCACGTGTGGAGCTGGTGTAAGAAAAAGAGTCAGATTTTGTGACTCACCTAAGTAAGTTGATTGTTTAATTGTTTAATTTTAATTGTTCAGTTCAAACGTCTTAATCTATTTTAAGCATTTTTACTGGGATACAGGAGAACTTATGATTTTTAAACCGCCTTTATCAATAAAGTTTGATAAACTTCACTGGCTTATATTGTACTCAATGATAAAGTGGTATAAATTAATTGACTTTTAACCTCAAAGGTTCCATTTTTTCATTTTTCATTAGTCGGAAGATTTGATCATTGGTTGATCGAGATGTTGAGATTGCCTTACAACTGGTCCATCACCACCCCTTGGAATACTTAACAATTATTTCCAAGATTCCACATAATCAATTTGCACTTTTAGGCCAAAGAACACTAGATGTCCAGGTAGCTATTATGACGCGGAATTATGTAACACTCAGGTAGGTTTTTTCGATACGTCTTTTGATTTGTGGGATTTAACGGTCACTATGGTGCTGAAATGGTGAATGTAAACCAAGGACTCGAAGTGAATTGTTGGTGAATTCAATGAAAGAGTCCCTTGTTCTAGCTCTTTATCGAGACCACCGGGTCTAGATATAATGCTAGCATCAAAATGCTTATGCCTGGTCACATTTGCTTTACGGTGAGTCTTATTCGCCTTTGGCCTGACACTATAGTATAACAATTCTACTGCACTGCTCAAACTAGTCAAAACATCGGTCGGAACATGTTGCTACCGAAACGGATTAGTTAAAAGAGTGCCGTACCCTTGCATGGCTACTTTCCGACAGACTAATGCCATTAAAGGTGTTGCATTGCGATTTTGAATAGTGTACATTTTTAGAATGGAGCGTTTCACAAAATTGTATTTTATCAAAATTCTTTTATCATTTTTGCTTCAAGGCTTGTATAAACAGTAGTGGAATAGTGGAGCAAGATATACGAGATCTGGGACAACAAATATGCCGCAACCATTCTACAAGCTCTGAGTTGACTGGTTATATTGAGTGGGCTGGACTTAGGACACGTAAGTCAAGAAATAACATGGATTATTTTTCATATATTTCCCTATCATATGAAGTCTGAAATCATAAATACATTTAATATAAAAAATAAGAAAATAACACAGGGTGTTTCATATGTATGCACCTCCCCCAGTTTCTTCTTCATTTTGTTAGTTGACGTAAACGACTGCAAGCAAGACATCTTAGGTAAAAAGTACACGGGCAAAGTTAGTAGGACTGTTAGCGGTAGACAATGTCAACGTTGGGATTCCCAAATACCACATAAGCATAAAAAACAAAGCGTTCTAGCTGCAGAAAACTTTTGCAGGTACGTGTGGTTGATGAGTAACTACATCCTGAACTGCAGTAATACACTATTCAAAATCAAGTTACTTGTCTTATATCTAATGGTATTCGTCCATTAATTTACAGCTTCATTCGTGTACGAGCGTGATCAATAAGTAATACAGGTTTTTTTCCACAGACGTTTTCTATTGAAAAATTTCAATGATATTTCACCAGTGGTGCATCATTCAATTGTCTATTAGTCCGTCTAATATTGCCAAATGTCCGTCAGAATGGCTACTAAGAATAGTATCTTGTGTAATGATTTACCTAGGCATTTCTAGTATTTAAAAACATGTAAAATATTACAAATAAATAAAACTTCATCTTTAAAAAATGTAGAAATCCCGATAATGAAAGTGGTGGGCCGTGGTGCTATACTACAGATCCTAACAAAAGATGGGAATATTGTGGAATTCCTTTATGTACAGGTAAAAGGCTAAATAACCAGATAATTGTCTGAGCGCTCAGTACAATGTAGAAGAGTGTAATGATTTTCCGGTCCGTTGTGGGCTAATGAATGTACACTCCCCTCCATAAGTTTGGCAACCTTAGCTCCCCCATATATAAAAATATTTTTGCTGAATCTTTTACTGAATAGATATCCTGCTTTCTGATTTACCCCGAACCCACCATTTCCCATTGGTTTACATGGGAATGACGGTTTTCAAGAACTCATCAAATTTATCAGAAATTTTCGACCTATTGTAATTGAGGAAAAAATTGAGAAATTTTGGAGGTAATGGAAATAAAGTCAAATTACGTTTCAATCAATAGTATAAGCATTTTCATCGCAGGTTAAGTAAATTAAAATTCAAAAGTAAAGAGGCGTCAACACGTAGTTCAATGGGGGAGCTAAGGTTACCAAACTTATGGAGGGGAGTGTACAGTATAATTAAAGAGGGGGAATAACCCCAGGGTCCAAAGATGACGTATGTTTATAATGTAAATTTGTATTGAGATGACATCGTCACTGATTGGTCAATTCGACAAACAATGGCGAATAATTATAATATTTCTTGCGTGTTAATTAATATCAGCTTGTTATTTTACATTAAGATAATGTAATAATAAGATGTAGGGTAACGTATTATATTCTAAAACTATCTAACGAGAATTTGCGCAAACGAAATTGGTACGTAATTATGTCTGTCAACTCAAACGCTCTGGGGTTCCCCCTCCTCTTCTATCAATTATGACAAATTAGCCATATACAGGGTCATGCAAAAAGTAAACCCACAATGACAAAACACTGAATATTTTTGTGATGACACCCGATAACAAATTGCTACTACGGTCTCAGCTATAGTGGCTTGCCCTTATGATTCGGGGGTAGAGCTTCGTACTCTGGAGCCGAAGATCCTACGTCCAGTGTCTTGCTCCCACGAAGAGCGTCATCGGGGGTGCTTATATCTCCTTGAACTTTTTGTAATCATTTTACATTTTCTATTAGCTGGCATAGGGTGTAAGCCAGGCTCAATGGGGAAATTGTATATGGGTAAAATGAATATAACTTCTGGTGGCAAAGAATGCAAACGATGGGACTCCCAGAGCCGACAGGGTGTACGCCGGTTTCAAGAGAACTCCCTTGCAGCTGCAGAAAACTTTTGCAGGTATGTTTTGTTTGGTTTGGACAGCAGTATTGTAGCCACATCATCTAGCAATTGTGTATACAGTGGCGTAGCGTGGGTATTTTGTGAGTGTACGCCAAGAGTAAGCGAATGAGCTTCGTGGGAGGGGGGGGGGGTGGTTCTCCCCCTCCCCAAAGAAAACTTGAAAATGAGATTGCATTTTGAGCTTCCTGGCGCATTTTAACATTTTAAAATACGAAATTCCGGGTCGAAATTCCGACTAATATCGACTTATTAAATGTAAATTGTCGGCCATGTTTATCCAATATTTGATTATATGAACCCATTTTAGAAAAATGAACTTTTCTCTAAATTTTGAGAGTACGCCTTGGCGTTTTATGCGTATATCTGACGCTACGTATATATCAGATGAGAAGGCCTTTATTTTGGTTTTCGAGTTGACCGAGCGGTCTGGATCGTTGAACATGCCAAGGAAGGCAATGTACCGTAACCGTAAGTGAGTTCGAGGTGCACGAGTCCTTATGTTTATTCATTTCTAAATTATGGTCATCAGTGCCATAAAATGTCATTATTTTTATCAATTTTTACATTTATATATAAACGGCATTGTACGATGGACGGGTGACACGACTCGTGTATATTCCCAGGTTTTTGATCATACATGAAATGAACAATTTGAATTCTGGGGGTCTGCCCATCTTGGATTTCCATGGTATGATGTTTTCATATTGATTGAAAATCAAAGTGGAAAACGAGTATGAGGTCTGCCTGTGTGATGAAATGCTACCATAAGTATCAATGCCTGGTTAAAAAATGTGTCATATACTGCCCACTATGATAATTTAAAATTTATATTATTGATTTAAGAAATGTTTTCTTCAATTCTTTCTTCATCATGAAAATACCTCCAGATGATTTTATTTCAATAGTTAATAAATTCCAAATTGTTGGTGCAGTAGTAATGATATCAAAGTTTGACCATAATTTGTTCGAATTTTGGGTTTGTCATAATCGATTAAAACGAGACTTTTAATTTGTAGAAATCCCGATGGTGACAAAGGTGGGCCATGGTGTTATACGCACGGTTTAAGATGGCAATTCTGCAATGTTCCTATATGTGGAGGTATACGTAAACCTATACAATCTGTGTTATTTCTCGTTATTATAAGACCAAACATTCGGAGGTATAATATATGTATTATTTGACCAAGTGGAGAAAATTTCAGGGAATTTAGTAAATATGGTAAAAACGTAGTTCTAAGGGATTGAATAGAACATCTCCAAAAATCGTGACTGTGACTTTTGACCATAAATTGACGTCGTAAATATAAGAAAGTCAATACCCAGCAATATGCTAAATTAGGGGATCTTCTGAGACATGAAGTTAAAGGCAGAACTAGATCTGTGGAGGTGACAAAATTACAAGCAACATGTACAATTGATATACCCATCTATACTTAATGATCTCAAATACATGATATGTTATAAATTTGTGACGTTATAATGACGTGTCGCAAAAAGGTGGCGCATTTGTTTTTTAAGGGTATCTCATGAATGTAACTTTGATTCCCCGGATTATAAGATAATATTCTAATTAAAGTTATATATCATTTTAAAGCTGTTTCGATGAAGTTTCTAGATCAACTACACTCCGTTCACAATTCTTGCGCGTTCTTTTTTAAAAAATAGTTTTTTACCAAAACATCTGGCAAATATCCCCTGTTGACACGTTACATTTTGAATTATTTTTCGTCTTTAAACGCTCATAACTCAAACAATATATGACTATTATACTTATTTTTCGTCTTGATAAAGGTAGATAGAAGTTTTATTTCAAAGGATGAATTTTAGTAAGCGTCCCATATTGTGACGTCATAGAGTTTGAAAAATAGAATATGTTGACAGCGACCTTTTTTGCTCATTTTTTGTTACCTCCAACTTTTCAGGTGTACATTAAACAAAAAATACGATATCAATTTTTAATAAATCATACATGATTATTTTGCTCTTAAACTCTTGTTTATTAATAAATAGTTGATTTTGTTCGCAAAAGTATGTGTTTTCTGTTGTATGTGGAAAAGTGGAGGACGAAAGGTTTTCAAGATTCATTAAAATAGGGCTAATTTACGTCATTCGCCTATTTTCAAGCACAGCAACACGTATATTTATTTCACCTAAAATATCAATTGATTCGTGTTTTATGATGCTTCTAGCCTATTAATAATATATATATGATATCAGAGTTATTCGTCTAAAATGTTTTGAGATATAGAGGTAAATGTGGAGGACGAAAGGATTTTCATGTGTGTACATTTTTCTCAAAAACGTCACATTCTATCATGTTAAAAGCGAGGATCCTCTGGATTACGCCACAAAATGTGTAACAATGCGTGCGCGAGCTTTTTGCGACACGTCAATGGATTCGAAGTGCAAAAATGGGTGAAGAATGTTTAAATTCTCCCAAATGATAAGAATAACATTCTTTTTGAAAAATAATACATTATTGTAAAAATCTTGAGTTTTACATTGGGGATTTTTAGAAAATAGACATAAAAATGACATAAGCCAGAAATAATCTAAAATTGAAACAATTTTTGAGACTGCTTGATAGATCTGATTCTCTCTTTAAATAGTTGGTTACATTAAGAGGTATGCACCATTTTAAAATAGTTTTCAATCCAATAAAACTTTGTTGAAAATATCAGTCATAGAATGAAAGTTCGATTAAATACAACCATTTTGTGATATAATTCTAGGTAAACTCCTTAAGATTCAGAGGTCTCTTCTTAGTTCAAAATTAGTGGTAGGGGTAACATACATAACAATAAACTTGGAATTGTAAGATAATTATAACCCTTGGGCATACTCAATGACTCATAAATATGTTAAACATCCAATACTTAGCTTATGCATACCACAGTTTATGTCCGATGTGATATGTAAATGTGTGATTAATGAGCAAAATGGTTACATCCTATCCCTAATTTCACTGCTATAATAGGCGTGAAATAAGGAAAAGTCGTACCTTAGAGGTCCCGACATTTTGTAACCGAAACGAACCCAGTGTCATCGAGTGGAGCACCAGTGCATGTATTGAATTAGACATATGCATGGGCCGTGAATTCGTACGATACCCAATCCAGTCCGGATAAATTTTATCTTTTGGATAAATCTTGGATTACTAATCCGATAAATATTTGATGAATTCGTACGATCCGAGGACTATGAGGGGGAATCCCCAAGATTTATCCAATTTGCATTGGAATTCTTATAAAATTTATCCAAAAAGTAATCCACCTCAAGAAGTGGATTGAGATTTATCCTGAGATTAATCTCAGGATCGTACGAATTCACCGATAGTTTGACTAATTCTTGGATCAATCCCACAATGTATCATTACAATGACGAAATTTATCCGAATCGGATCGCGGATCGTACGAATTCACGGCCCCAGATCTCACGTCTCCATATAATTAAAATTGGATTTTTAATATTATATTTCATGTTTTAGGTGACAATTTATGTGACGTAAATTGTTACCTTAAGGGGTCCTCTGGTTCCCGAAGGTCGGCGTTCTTTCCCGATGGCACTCTGTGTAGTGAGCGTAACGCCAACGCAACAGAGATATCCATGTGTATTGAGGGATACTGCAAGGTATGGTATAACCATATTCAACTTGGCTTTCTTGGCTTTCTGTACTCTTGGTAATTTTGCGTGCCACTATATTTCGCTCTTTTCGCGAGCTTTCAAGAATTCGTAAATATAATAGCCGTCAAATTCCCATAGATCTAATCCGCGAATCTTCACAAAAATTTGAACTTTCGTTCAGTGCTAGGCGAAAAATACTGTTACTATTTTCTTCATTTATTTCGGATTTAAAAAACATTTAATCAGAGGAATTAGAAAAAGAAGCTGAAAAAAATTTGAGAAGTCACAAATCTGCGAAAATTAATAGCCGCAAAATTTCCAAAAATTGAAAAGTAGCGAAATTTAATAGCTGCGAAATTTCAAAATCGCAAAAACGTCAAATAAAATAGCGTCAAATATAAGTTGGAGTTCAGTATATATATATAGGTATTTTAATTGGTTATAATGACTCTCAAGTTTTATTTCCAGGCGTTTACTTTGCCATAGGAACGAGTCGCCGAAAGCGCTTGTTAGATGCGAAGGAAACAAAGCTTAAACAATATTGGATGTAAAAATATTGAATAAAGTTCCTTTTTAAGCGCATAGCAATTGAGTTTCTCCAATTACTTACCTTTCTTATGTCACCACCCCACGTGGTGACATATTGTTAGAGTCTCTTACTTCTATGTGGAAGGTGGGTGCTGTTCGGCGTCTGTAACAAATGGCAAGTGGCGACATTTTACATGCTAATGCCATGTTACTAATGGCATGCGTTAAATCAACACCCGTCTTTATAGTTTGAACTTTCCATTCTGAAACCTTCTCCTTGAGCCAAGTATAATGTTTTGTCAGAAAATGATTAGTTAAACTAGAAAACAAATGGCCATGGTTTGCTGATGTGAATGGGGTTTGCGCTGGATCTGTTATTAGCACTATACATATTCTTACTGCGGCGCATTGCGTGGCGAATATTGAAGAACCAATTCTGTTACGAGATTTGACATGAAAGTTTCGATTCCTTGAAATGTATATAATGCTCCGGCCCAAAAGTTGTACAGGATCCCTTTTACATCTTACTCTAGTCCCAGGACCATGTATCCCCTTCCCAAAGTCCCCCAAAGTCCAGCTTTCCCAGTCTCTGGCAATTCCGGCACTTATATTGCAAATTTCCAACCATGAAACTCGTGTAAGTCACTTGATAGTCACTTGCTAGTCACTTTCTAGTCACTTTCTAGTCACTTGTGAGCTCGTGTTAGTCACTTGTTATAATTCGTACTAGTCAATGTTAGTCCATGTTAGTCACTTTATAGAGAAACTTCACTCGGAACACAGTTTGAATATTCATAACTAATTGTTACTGTACTGTTATATGTTTTTATATCATAAAATATACACATGTAAATATGTTTAATATTTAAAACTTTTGTCGTGTTATATTTCTTAAGGTGATATTATCCCCCCTCCCTCTTTCATGAGACAATTCCAAGTATAAGGTAGAGATTTTTACCAGAACGCCATCTTTCTTTCGACATAAAAGTTTATTTTCTATAAGACTCATTGTTTTACACCCCCCATAATTCACTTAGAATATGAAATTCATAATTAATCAATAACACCTCCCTCTCTTTTAACCACGCTACCACAATGAGTTGAGGAGATGTTACACAATTTCTGGAGTGGATTATAGAAAAAGTATCGGCCAATGAAAAATGGGGAAATTCAGTCGATGGACGATATGTGCGCCATATCCATCAGGATACAAGTATATTTACAATATGTTCTTTATAACTGTTGTACTCTTTGGTGGTTTTTTCTTGCTGTATTCCGTGACAAATTTGGTTCTATCCCTCCTTTACGCAATTGTATTTTTATTTTCATAATAGTAGAATAGCACTGCGAGAAACTACACAAATCAGAAAGTTTGATGCATAAAGTACTTTTTCTCTGAAGTTTGTGAGTACTTTTGTGATCTAACTCTCTTCAACAGATTGTACATTTAGAGGCAATGAAGCTCAAGATCCAAATCAGTCATATGATTCATCCTTATAATTCGTTACGCATTTGAGCTTGTGGAGAAACGGTAATCTTGAAATTCAGTAAAATGCAAGCGTTTTTTAGCTCACATGGTGAGCTTTTGCAATCACTCACTTGTCCGTCTGTCTGTCCGTCCGTCCGTCTGTCTGTCTGTCCGTCTGTCCGTCTGTCAACAATTGGCCAGTTTTAAAACCTCTGTCAACATCAATATAAAAAAAAACTATGAATCCTGGTTCAAAAGCTCGCCTATTTTCAAAATGGCCGCCATTTTTGTCTCGCGAAATTCACTTTTGGACCATTGGCTTTAAAACCTGTGTCGATAGGATTCCCGTATTAAGTTATATTTGTTCAACATCAATACAGAAAACTCCCTTATGACTTCTGGTTCAAAAGCTTGCCTATTTTCAAAATGGTCGCCATTTTTGTCTCGCGAAATTCAATTTTGGCCCATTTCCTAGCTTTACAAATAATTTCAGGTGTCCTGTATTGTAAAAAGCCATGTTACTGTTAAGAGTAGTTGTATGAAATAATTTTGTTACAAAAAATCGGCAAAAAAATTTATCTGTTTTTTATTTTCAGCCATTTTAGTTAACATTGATTTGTCCATTTATCTCGCGAAATCCACTTTTGGACCATTTGCCTTAAAACCTCTGTTCAATAGGATTCCCGTTTTAAGTTATTTTTGTTCAACGTCAATGTAGAAAACTCCTCTATGACTCCTGGTTCAAACTGTCAAAAGCTCGCCTATTTTCAAAATTGTCGCCATTTTTGTCTCGCAGAATTCACTTTTGGCCCATTTCCTAGCTTTACATATAATTTCAGGTGTTCTGCATTGTAAAAATCCATGTCACTGTAAAGAGTAGTTGTATGAAATAATTTTGTTACAAAAATCGGCAAAAAGTTAAATCCGTTTTCCTACTTTCAGCCATTTTAGTTAACATTGATTTGTCCATATATCTCGCGAAATCCACTTTTGGACCATTTGCCTTAAAACCTCTGTCGATAGGATTCCCGTTTTAAGTTATTTTTGTTCAACATCAATACAGAAAACTCCCCTATGACTCCTGGTTCAAAAGCTTGCCTATTTTCAAAATAGTCGCCATTTTTGTCTTGCGAAATTCACTTGTGGCCCATTTCCTAGCTTTACAAATAATTTCAGGTGTCCTGCATTGTAAAAAGTCATGTCACCGTAAAGAGTAGTTGTATGAAATAATTTTGTTACAAAAAATTGGCAAAAATTACATCAATTTTTTTTTATTTTACGCCATTTTAGCCATGATTCACTTTTGAGCAACACCATGTGAGCCCAGTACCCACGGTACTATTTTTTAATTTTAGATCTAGTCTGACATAGAAATACTGTATACATCTGTAAATATGTTATTGTAGGTAAACATATTATGTTCATTATGTTATAATTTAAGCCAAAGCACCCCAAGTTGACATAGCAATTGAGTGAATTGTTCTGTCCACATTATGATAAGCATTCCATTAACAGTAGTTCCCTGTAGACGTCCAAAATATCAATACAAAGGTACCATAATTACAATTTATGTCACAAATCGGTTGTCAAAAAACAACGGCACCCCCTCTACAGCAAAACTCCTTAAAGGCACATTGTAACAGAGCCGATAAATTTGGTTCAGAATTCTTTTGAGGCTTTAGAGTCAATTCCATGTTTAAACCTTATCTGATGATTCTATTTTCAAATTATGCATGAAGGTCGACCATTCAAAGTCGCCTATTGAACCTTGAACATGTAAGTGAGGAAGAATATTGATGATTTTGTAGTTTTACAAGAAAATACGTTCGCAAAGCTTGGATTTTCTGAAGCATAATACACGTTTGTGCAAAAAGGGTAGCGCGCGGTGATTCTTATCCGAGGCTCTAGCCAATTCTTGGCCTTAGAAGAAGGTAAGGTGATTCTACTTATATCTCGTGAAATCATGGAAAAACAAAAACGATTCGAAATCGTTTGCGCCACTTTGGTACGAAAACGGATCTGTTAACGTAACTCGCTTTGGGTTCCTCAAAGTAATACACTCCCTTCCATAAGTTTGGCAACCTTAGCTCCCCCATTGAACTACGTGTTAAAGCCTCTTTACGTTTGAATTTTTATTCACTTAACCTGCAATGAAATAACTTATTATATTGATGGAAACGTAACTTGATTTTATTTCAAATACCTTCAAATTTTTCCAATGTTTCCTCGATTACAATACATCGAAAATTGATGAAAACTTTGATGAATTTTTGATATATTTGCCCGGCTATCGAATATATTACCGGTTGATACGTCCCTGAAACCTCATCAGGTATGGAATACAATCTAGTAGGACTTCCCACAATTCATGATTGGAAGTTTATGTTGATATTGTCACTGTTTCGCAACTAGTTACTTTTTTCTCGATTTAAACTTATGTATGAGTCATGTTGCGGATTATCATTTGGCACAAAGTTAGACAATATAGTCTGGCTTTTAGAAATGCTCTCGGTTTGGAATTTGATTTTTATTACAGCTGTAGTTCATGCATTTAGACCCTCACTTGCTTACATTGACGTAAGTTGTCAAAGTAACCTCAGCTCCATTAGCAATATAACCGAGTTTCGTCAATATAACAAAAGCGAGGGACTAAATATATGAATTGCAACTCCATTTACGAAATAAATTCCAAATCGAAGAAACATATTAAACCTAGACTATATTTTCTAGCTTTGTGCATTGGCTCATGCTTTGTGCCAAATTATAATCTGCAACTTGACTTATAAGTAGGTTTAAATCGAGAAAACAAGAAAAGTCGTAACCATAAAGTTCATCCATTTTGTTACATTGACGTTATATCAAAGTAACTAGTTGTGGAACAGTGATTTTAGCAGTGTCTTTTAAGTTCTTTTTGTTGGTAGAGTCAGCCAAAACCCCCAATTATATCGATTTGACACTACACTAGTGCAGTCTTGGATAAACACAAAGCGCACACGTGTCTCGAACTCGCAACATTGTGGTTACAGAGCCAATTATATCCTCATACCTTGATTCATATCTGGCTACGAGACAGCTTGCTTTCCCGATGAACAAACTTTATCTGCTCTTTTTATGAGTACAAGTGTCTATAACATTTTTGATGTTATGAGTATTGGATAGGCTATCAATCTTTTCAATTTTTATTAATGACTTTAATGACTTCAGTCTGAATGAAATGTCCCTTGGAGTTCTGGTCTTTGATGCGGAATTGGTCCTTCAACCATGTGGGGAAGAAGGGGAAGGCTGCTGGACACTGATTATTCTCACATTAGATGCTTATCAGTGGAGGATCCAGAAGTTGACTAGGGGGGAGGGGGGGGGGCAAATTGTGAGTCAGGAAAAAACTTTCCCATTTAATTTTTAAGGCCCTACAAAATTTCTGGGCCCAAAACTTTTGAGGCTCTAAAAAGGTTTACCCCACCCTGGACCCGCCACAGCTTTCTCTGTACCTCAATAAATGTGGGTTCGGTTTGCTTTTTTTAATTTTGATTTCGATAAAGCAAACCTCACCCACAGCTGAAACCTATTCAAAATTGTGTTGTTGGAT